TTATCTTTGCTGAAGGCAGTAAACACACTGCCTGCTTTCTGGAAACCATTTTCTGAACATTTATAAATCTAAAAAAAAAAAAAAAATCTACACTCAAACAATCATGTAAAGAAAAGTATTGTTTTTCTGCACTGCATTTTTTTGATTAGCTGAAAACATTATTTTTATTGTTAATAGCATAAAACAGCTAGATGCAATACTTCTGCATCCTCAGTTTCAGGCCTCCGTCACAGAGCTCCCTGCAGAGTAGAAACTCACTTTTTAGCATTGCTGCAGAAAGTATTAAAAAAAACCACTTGCAAAGGAAACCTGAGGCAGCAACTGTTGATTTGCTTACGCACTAAGATGTACTGGGACATAGACAACATGTTACATTTTTCTTCAGTCAAAATACAGAACAACAGTTTTTCACGTTAAAGAAGCTTCTGCTGCTACATTACATTATTTGACCTTGGCAGAGACAAAATGGTTTAGGAAGCTATTCCTAGGCTTCTGCTAACATTTTGTGGAGCTTTCACAAGAAGAGATGGACTTCGTGTTCACTGGAAGAACACCCAAATCTCCTTAAGCAACTTGTGTGTGATCTCCTGTAACAAGTTCAGATAAGAATACCAGCACCTCAACTTATCGACATGTGCTTTCTAACATCTTAAATAAATCATGTAACTGAGGATGTGAGGCTAACATTCTCAGTCAGTTTCGGGAGTAGATTCTTCTCAACACCAAAACCAAAAGATCATTAAGGTGCCTGTTCCAAAAGTCACTAAAATTAGAACAGTGTCATACACTTAACATGAATAAAGATGACTAAATCAAACTTTAAAAGAGTTGATTAATGAAATTTCACTAAGTAAACAAATTAAGTATTGGACACCTATCTATCCCAGTGGGGATTAATTCAACAAAATCAAAAATCCCGGACACAAACTTGCAACTGATAGGGCATCAATGTCTGACTTGTGTGGCAAAAGTTATTTTAAATGTAACTGGCATAAAAGTGTATCCAGGTGCATCTGTCTAAGAAGACAAATCAAAAGATTTCTGAAAATTAAACAAAGATTCACACAAAAACATTAAATTTTAAATGTAAATACTATCTGAGGTATTGACTGAGAACGTAGTCTTCATACAGAAAAAATAAAGACTACATTGCTAAGAACTACATTTCTAATATTACATTCATCTTGAGAGCAAACACAGAATTCTTCAAATTAAGGTTTATTTTATAATGAAACTCAGGACATAATTCGATTTAATGCCTTCTACATAAAAGCCTTCCTCTGCCAGAACCACACTTTACAGGCACGATATCAAAGAAGGAAAAAAACTCACCACAATTAGCTTACAGTGCTGGAATTCTCATATCTCAATCCTAAACATTAAAGCTCTGATCTAAAGCTGGTTACAGCCAACAGCAGATTTTCTATTGCCTTCACTAGTTTTCAGCCAGGTTTAACTGAAAACAACTGTCATTACAAAAGTGATGAGAGTCAAGTAGTAGAAACATAAGTTCATTACATTTTCTCATATAAATAAACATGTTCATTAGCTTTCATTGAAAGACTGATTTCCAGCATGCTTCTGTTCTTTTCCGTTTTAATATAACCACGAAGAAAACATAATCTTGGCAGATAGGCAGAAACCAAACCTGAAATATGCAACATCCAGCATTAGATAGCTTACTATGTGCCATCCAGTCCCAACCAACATTTCTTCATGGTATGTCAGAGTATTTGAAGGAGGACTAAGTCTTTCCAGCCCTCCCTGTTTTAACATTTGCCAAAGTCATCACCAAAAGTATATGCTTGCCACAATCCAATAGCAGTGAAATGAATGCCACTTTCTTGGTTAAGGACAGTAAAGAAAATAAACTCAACAGATCTCTTCCTTTCACAAAGGGACACCTGACCCTCCAGAGGCAAAAGCTTCTGTGACTTTTAATACATGAAGATTATTCTGTTCTTGCCTTAAAGCACTTGCTCTTTCAACAAATACACATAATCTGAAATTGCTTTGCCGAATTCGTATACTAACAGAGACCAACGAAGCAGTATTTAATCAAGGTGTTAGTGGGATGCAAAGAATAAGAACAAAAGTCTGCATACTTAATTAGCACAGCACACAATTCAGTCAGAGATAATGACACAAGGGTTGGGGGATAACAGGCAGGTGGGTTTTTGACAGAAAGAAAGAAACAGCAAAAAGCCATTTGGACATTTTCTTGGCTTTTTATTATTACACCTAACTATATGGTTACCACAGGTTTATTTTTTTTCCCTTTCACATCACTTGTAAATAAAACATTTCAGCATATAGCTCTGTACAAAGACAACAGCAAGATAATGATGCTTTCCCCCTCAACCCAATCCTCTGGAATCTGTTGAACAAGCACTTGTAAATCTTTGATTTCTTCAAAACTATGCAAGTTATAGGCAGACTAACAGCATTCTGCTATATTTAATGTAAACACAAACTCTAACATCCTCAGAACGTTATTTTACAAAATCACTGGACCAAATAATTTTTTAGAGTTTCTTTTTTTCCTAAAGACCAAAAGAAAACATTATGTGTACAATTCTGTCTCAACATTACATCATGAAGATGCCAACTCACATTGCTGGTCTTGGAGAAAAAGGAATAGCTTGATCAAAACAGACCACATCTGACCACAAGTCTATACAACTAGGAATGCATGTGGTAAACTTCCTCACAGAAAACTATTCCACAAAATTGAAGCTCAGATCCCAGGCATCACACACCAAGAGAAATGCTCCACTAATGTTCATTTTAACTTGATTTATAAAAAGCCTCTACTATTTAGTTTTCTTTCTGAAGGTGTCCTCTCTGAAAACATGTTTTTTTGACTGCCATAAGACTATGATCAGACTTTCGTGTGCCTTCATCCAATAGTCTTCAAATTAATTATTTTTAATATCTTTGGTACAGCTGACTACACACAAACTTGGCTAGTTGCTGCGACTGCCTCCCACACCATCCGGAATAACCATCTACTTGGACTGTTCAGTTTCTTACTTTCTGCATTCCTGGTCTCTATTTTCAACTTAAGACTAATCTCAGCACGATTTAAATTATATTATAAAGCTCACGTTCAGCTCAACTTCAGTAAACGCGAACAACTTGGGTTCAAACATTCAAGGAAGTTATAAAATTTGGTATGTGGGAATCTTTTCCAGGCTCCCAAAACTAGGTTACAGTAAGATATTATGTAATGGTTTTAGAACAGCTCATAAAAAAACCATTTTCTGATTTGCTGTCAGTGGGGTCATATCAGTGCCATCAGTAAATACATGTATTTACCTTTTATTTTCCGTCTTACAGAAACAGATAAATCTCATTCAGTCATCAGCACTGAGGCACCTGGAAAATCATATGACTTTCCATCAAACTTAAAGACCTTCTTGTTGCTATAATCCACTCACCAACCCTTCTGAAAATCTTGTTCTAGCTCAAGTATTTTATTGACTTAAAATAACCTGCAGAAGTATCATGAAAAGGCAAGTGAGCCAGCGCACATTACCATGTAGTGTATTCAGCAAAAATCTGTAACAAAAGCACATTATATTGTTTTGTCTTCACTTGAGAACAAAGACAATGAAACCGGGTGCTGTGAGTACATAACCGAAGCAGAAAGGGGAACAAATTGTACACACCTCTTCTCTGGGAAAGGATATTTTGGGCACATCCCTAGATTAAACAAAGAAAAAAAAAAAGGGGGAAGGGGGAGAGTGAAAACAAAGTCACAGGGATTGACAGACTTGAGTTAGGACTCATCTAGGAATATTTTGCCACTCACTGTATTTATATTCAGTTTGGGTTTAATAAGATGGGCTTTTAGTATTCTCTCACTTATTGTTCCAGTATGTAGAATCTATTTATAGCTCTGCTAAGACCATACCAATACTATGCTCTCTTTAAGCCACTCAGCAATGTTAATGTTAGAGTTTTTTTCAAACAAACATTTATTTTGTAATAAATGCACAGATAGCTCTTAAAGCCAGATGTCAAACATAAGCTTTTTTTTGTAGTGCCATGCATAAAAGTAACAGTCATCCTTCCACCTCTAACCACAGAAAGGTGAAAAAGTAGGAAAGGAGTCTCCTTCTCAGTGTAAAACAGTACTAAATATGCATCCACCAGAAACTGCTTGGCTCAGGGTGCGGGGGGAGAAAAGAGGAATTCTGCTCAAAGAACTACAGCAGAAGAGAAAGATTACAAAGACAGAACAGAAGCATGGAAAGCCAGGTGTTTATAACAAGTTGGAAACATTGTTACTGCAATTATTTTTTGGTTAGTGTAATCTCCTCAACTGGTAAACTCAGACAGATTTTTTGCTACAGGCAAACACAGCTGTGACAGGAACTAGGATGCATTAAGGACCTAATTACAAATGCATAATCTACTGTTGCTGCCTAGTACGTAAAAAAAGTTTAGAAGAGCCCTGAAACTCATGCTCTCATCTGTTCACAGCACCAGGTTTTCATTTTGCTAAGGATCTCACAACTACATACTGCATTACAAAGCTGCTAAAATTTAAAAACTTCATTTACCATACAGTTGCCAAATCCTGGCACAAGTGTCACAAAAGGAAATGCTTTATATTACAGTTGGAGGAAGCTATGAGCTGACACCTGTTGATCAGCATAAATCAGTCTCAGTTTCTTACAATCACCTTTCAAAATTCGCATTAATCTTTTTTGTTATTTTCACATTTTTCAATAATTTTTCACAATGTTGTTATATTTTTGTTTTGCTTGACTTGATATTTTTCACACTTCATTGATCAGAAACTATCATTTGCTATTTCTTTATCATTTTAAAGAAGTCAATCCTCCTCTGCCCAAAAAGCATATTTTAAAAGCATCAAAAAGTACAAAAGCTAGGGAGAGAACAAAAAAAAAAAAAAAGGATTTGTTACAGTAAAAATTTAATTCTGAGAACACTTTTTGCTAGGTGTGATAACGTCACTCTAGATCACTCACTTCCCACATAAGCCTGCAGTCTGTGTTCTCATCCAGTTCCTGCGGCATCCGCTTCTCCCCTGCAAAGGGGCCAAATTTTTCACCCTAAGGAATAATTGCAAAAGAAAAAAAATCAGTGAAGGGAGAAAAAAGGCAAGTGAATTACCATACTCCAGAAGAAGTATCATTTTTAGCTTCAAATGGAAAGGACAGTTTTCCTTTGTCATTCTACCATATGCCAAGAGAGTGCACATCCTTGAGGGTTCAACTTCAAGCTCATTCCCATTCTTTTCCTAGCTTGGAGAATCTCTTAAAACCATACCTTTCCTCCACACGCCTATTTCCCCTTTGGCAAACGCTATTTTTCTTTATTTTAAATACGACTGAAATTTACAAGTCAAATTTCTTAAGTTTCGCATTAAGATTTTCAGGACAAAACTTGTAATAGACATCCAACTATAATGTAAAATATTTGGCAAGCACATTAGATTTATTTGCCAGATTATTTGCACAACTACTTTTTGAAGTGCCACAAATCAAAACATTGAATACCTGAGATTTTGATTACACAGGGAGATTCATTTAAAAACGTAGAGAATATGCACGTGTCTATAAATTAATTCAAGCCTTCATAAACAAAATTAAAATGTTATACCACCTGCTAGTCATTACACGTTCTGTGAAAGCATCCATTGATATGTTCTTCTGAAAGTTTTGGGTATCAGTGTCTTTTTCCTACACAGACGTCACAGTAGCAGCAGGGCGAGTTACTTAAATAGGACTTTCTTTTGACACAGGCCTCACTTCCTCCCACCCCCATCCTTATTTGCAGTGACAAGTACTACAAACAGAATACAGACGGCTATGTTCATTTAGGCAGTACTCAGATCGAAAAGCTCTACATACTTTTAAGCATTAGAGATTACAACTATATCATGAGAACCAACTTTGGCGTTTCCTTAAAAATAACAGTATTTTGGCTAACAAAAGTATTGATCTTGTCCACACATCCCTTCCCCCAGGCACATTCCGTGATTCCAGAAACAGCCTGCTACATGTTTTCCCTCTTGCTTAGTTTTTACAGATTGTCTACAGGTAGAGTGCAGAGGAAAAAGTGAAATGGAAAATTTCCAGGATCATTCCTCTCAGAAACAACCATCCAAATAAAAAAAATCTGGTATGTAAAATTAAACCCGAAAAGATAATAAACAAAGAAAAAGAAAATTGGCATTGCATAACAAGGCAACTGAGTTGAAGAGCAATATTTTAAAAAGCGCACAACGATGGTTTCATTAGAAAGAACAGCAAAGCAGAAAGTAAAAAGACAGGAACAGCAGAAAACAATTGGAGCCCAGAGCAGTAATCGAGACACAAATACGGGCTGTGATAGCAAAAATTGGCACTATGGGGCTTCATGTCCTTCACTTCTCACCAACCTCCATACCACCCTTCATCATTTTGCTCAAACGAAGTCAGAGTTCCTCCCTTGCCAGCTTTATATATCCTGGGATTAAATACTCAAACTGAAATTTCCTTCTTTTACCTTCATCAGCAATGAAGGTGAAAATAGTTCAATACAGTCGTACCCGCACAGCCATCAACATTCTCAGCTTATGCTGAGTGCTACCCCAGCAAACATACTGCTGTCCAATAGGGGCCACACAGGTATTACATGGGAGGCAACTTGCTTAGATTGCATTGTTTCCTTAGATTAAGAAGGAGAAAGAGTCAAGATGGTGGCAAAGGAAATCTGCTCTGGAAACTTATGGTCCTATCTATCTCAGTAAAGATAAGGTAGACCCTTTCTGGAGCAGGCACCTTCTGCCAGGCTGAAGTGGCTTTCCCCATTCACTTAGAAAGCAACAAGTAGTTTTGGTGCAACAAGGAAAGCAGCTCACTGCAATTGCTGAGCTCTGAGGGAGGGCATAATTATATCTGCAGAATCTCTCGTTACTCATAGCAATTAGCAAAATGAAAAGAAGTATATTGGACTATAATCTAGATTAGTTCTACAGAAAGACAAAGAGAAAACCTTGATAAATTTAAAACAGTAATTATTTGAAGACATAATGAATAAGGAATTTGAAAAAGCCAGTTTTCCATATTCACTTCAGAGGCAGATTAACACTTTTAAAGAGGACATAAAGATATTCATTTCTTAAGTACTTTGGAGGCGTCCACAACCCTCACCTCAGTAATACTTTCATCCTTGCAATCCAAAGGATCCCTAGATACCTCATAAAGCACCTACAGGGTTAATTTTACCCAACACTGAAGCACACACCACCTCAGGGATGAAGCACAGCAACAGCTTAATACCACATACTGACTCAAAACAAGAAACACCATACATCATTCCTACCTCAGCTACTCTGAACCAATAAGCCTCTCCTGCAATATGTTTAAGACCATCTAGAAGCTCAAAACAGCAGCAAAAGCAAAAGGCAAGCTATCCATCTCTACACATAAAGTAAATGTAACACAAACAGTTGGTGATTCAGATTTCTAAGCACTTCTTATAGCTTCTCAAATTTGGAGAGAAAAAAAGAAATTAGAGACAGCAAAACCTTATGACTTGGAACACAAAGGTCCGTGGAAATAAGTGTAATTATTCATTTAGCCTTTCAGAGCATTTTCTTCATATATATATTTATTAGTCTTAGTTAATAGACATGCTGTCATATGCAATATATATATTGATCAAACTAACACTTCAACTTCCTCTCTGATCAATAAACGTGAGGCATACCACACAGTCTAAAGTCAAACACAGAAATTATTCAAGATATGAAAGGCACATCACTCAAACATTAAAAAAAAAAAAGCTATTTTCAACAGTTGCTTTCAAGAAAGCAGCAGTGATTAATCTTCATCCAGTCGCAGCAAAACACTGAGAAATGTGGTGGCTCTCTGATGATTACACCAAGGCCTTTACGATACTGGTGCTGTAACCAACTGCCAGCTGTTGGAAAAAAGAAATTACAAAAGAATCACAGCTTTTGTTAAAGTAATAAAACAAAAAAGTTTCCACCTTTTATGATTACAGACAACGGCTTGAAAGCACAGCCTGAAGGTACAAAAGCAGATGGCAGCCAACAGCAGTTCAAGATGTATTATTACCAAAACTTCGCTAATAGCAGAATTTTAAGAGGCCTACTTCATGATTACTTAGCACTTAGAGAGTTGGTACTGCAATTTCTGATTATGAGATCATCTGAAATGTGTTTTACTTTCAGTTAAGACAACTGCAGTTGTGTGATAGGAAGAAAGACAAAATGGTGCAGTATTTGCTACTCAGGAACATAACATCTTACTTCACAATTAAGCGTCATATTCAGCACCTCCTCCCAATCTGAAAGCGCCAAGTAATTAATTTAACAGTTATTAGCTACTCTGAGCCATGAAGAATAGCACTGCTGCCTCATTACTGGACAGGAGAACATGTTGGGAGCATTTCAGATGTGATTTTTTTTTCTTTCCATGGAAAACAGAAACACAGTCTGGCTATGCGAAACATATCATCTGTGTTATTTACACATCTACCCTTCCCTGAACAGCTGTGGCAACACGCAGTGCTCAGGTCTCCAGTCATTTTTAGGAATACCTGATTTAACCACTGCCCACAGAGCAACTCAAGAGCTGGTTCTTCAGCCCATCAAAGAGCAAAGTCTGCCTATCAAGAGACGTACTTCTGCTCAGGACTTTGCATACCACAACTGTCAGCTACCAGCACAGAGGATTCACTGCCAAATAAAGGGCAGACCTATCACAAACACTGTCACCAGACACTCCTAATACAAATATATCTTACTATGACTGCCTCTGCCTTTACCTTCTGTATTCCACATGCAATACATGTCACACAACATTTCAGTTTTGAAAGGATGTCCTGTATGATGTGGTCACACTGGCAGAGCTGTGCAGGCAGAGCTCAGACAACATGTTTCGCTTGTAAAAAGAGAGTTCAAAAGCAATGAGGAGTAGTTCAGGCAAAATCCCACTATTTTTCCTAGGATGCAGCTCTAATGGTTCAGTTGACAGCAGCATAAAGGAACAGGCAGGGCTCTGACCCTGAACTTCGAACCGACATTCGGTTGGTACTGACATGCGGATGATGATTTCCACGAGCTTCACTCTAGAGCTTGCTCAATTTCAGAGTCCAGCGATTAATATACACTAGCAGTGTACATCATTCCTTGCTGTGTGAACTCCCAAAGTTTTCAAACGAAAGCTCAGAACCTAAGTGGGAAAAATTTAAGCCAAGTGATGTAAAGTTGCTCCCCTTCCACCCCCCATTAACACTCAGGGACATCGTAAAAAGGAGAGACCCCTACCCCACGGTGTCTAAGCCTTGCTGATGAAACCACTGAAAAACTAGGCAGCCCTCCCAGCTCACTCAAGAGCCAAAACCAGGACAAATACGGAAGGCAAAACACAAAAAATACGTAGAATTACATACTAATGGAGAGTTCATAACTTCAGGTACGTCTTTATCTGTTCAAACAAGCCACCTGGAGAGTTACAGTTGGAATTTCAGATCATCAAGAGACTTTACGAGGTGTCAAGGGACACGACCTGGCTGGGGTGCGAGAGACCTGCAGTTCAGCTGACTTCCACCTTTCCCACTCCCGGCTTTATCAGGCCGAAGCGACGAACAAAACCCCCCAGGCCACCGAGCTCCAAGCGCGGGGCGGCGGCAGGCGGCTGCGACCAGCGGCCGGG